AAGAAATTCGAATTAACGATTGAATTTTAATTCTTAATTAAAGAATACTTTAATTGTAGATTGATATTAATTAAAAAGTCTGCAATTCTGATCCCAAACGACCTTAATGCTTAATTAAATTTGTTGTATCGCAGGGATGAGGAACAGATCCGTCGGTGCGCACAACATGAACGATCACTCTAGCAGGAGTCACAGTATCCTCACCGTCAGTATCACCTCCGAGCAACAGGTAATTGTCTCAATTTTGCTCAGGTGAAATACGAATTCTACATAAATAATATTGACAGACGGACAGCGTGTTCATTTCGAGGCAAGGGAAAATTAATTTCGTCGATCTAGCAGGAAGTGAGATGACGAAGAAGACGCAAAGCGAAGGGAAAACTCTGGAGGAGGCGAATAATATCAACAAAAGCTTGATGGTTCTAGGTACAATTCCAATAATTAATTAATAATTTAAATTATTGATTAATGGGAAACGGTTACTGAAATTCGATTACGAAGCTGATACCACGTCTAACCGAAACTTTGCCATTAATTATGCAAAAGTGGGAATCGATTTCGGGGAATGAAGGGGCGTAAGCTTTACCCTCGACATTAATAATTCTGGAACAGTCCACAACAAACTTGTTATACCAACTTTTTCCGAATAAATATGTTATTTTTTTCTATGAAGGGTACTGCATAGCTTCTTTGAGCGATGGAAAACGCAAGGGTGGTCACATTCCATATCGGGATAGCAAGCTGACTAAACTACTGGCTGATAGTCTGGCCGGGAACGGCGTTACATTAATGGTTAGTCGAATTATCCTAATTGCGAAGGACATAATCAAACTGCGGATCTTTGTATGTCCTTGAATATTTTATACTTTTTACAAGTACAATTTTTCCATAAATACAGCGAATCCGCATTCTACATAGAATAATCAGTGCGTACAGCTGACTGAATAATTGAATAAACTTTAGATCGCGTGCGTCTCGCCAGCCAGGTCAAACGCGAGCGAAACGTTAAACACTTTACGATACGCTGCGAGGGTGAAGAAAATTCGGACGAAGCCTATCGTAGTAATGGTAAGTAAAGAAGAGTTGTAACAAACATTATTCGAAACGAAGAACAAATATGTGAATGAAAATTGGCTACACAGGATCCGCGAGAAGCTCTGATTCTCAGCTTGAAACGAGAAGTGGGAGCACTTCAAACGGAGAACGAGCATTTAAGGGCTGCACTTCATTTGAGTGGCGATGCCTCGAACATCGTTCGCAGCGAATCCAAAGGTACAAACATCTTTCAATTGAATTATTTTTAAATACGAATACAGCCTGTAATTGTAACACTAGTCCTCCGTTATTATCGTTAATTCGTTGTTATTATATAATTGTCTAATTTTTAAAGCCGAGAGGAGGATGCCTGTGACACCTCCAGTAGTAGACTTGAATAAACTGTCTGAAATGGAGCGACCAGAATTGAGTCAATTGATCCACGCGTACATCACCGAGAACGAGGCGCTCCGTCGCGAAAACGCGGAGTTGTACGCCACCAGGGAACAGGTGATACGGGACCAGGAACTCGTCTGCAGAGAGAATGAGAGATTATTGAAGAAACTCGAGGATGTGAACTCGTAAGTACGAGATTCAAGGCGAAAACGTCACGATAATCAATTAATTCTGTAGATTTTATTACTGCAGGGTTTGTTGCCGGTCACCGATCATACCTGCCAGACCCACCTATTCGGCGGAAATGTTGGACAATAATGAAGACGCACCTGGAGCGACTAACGTCTGGACCAACCCCAACGTTGAGCCGACGCCACTTTCAAGCGTGCGTAGCAAGAATTTAAATAAAATGAAAGCAGTCGTATTCTGATACATCGTTCGGTAAGAAATTACATCAATTTATAGGATTTGATTAGGCGTGGATTATACAGATCTGCGAGTAGCATGCCAGAGAAGATACAAAAGGAATTGGATAAACGCAGGATCGTAGGAAGTTATAATAACATAGCGGAAGCATACAAGGATAAAAGTCATCATCGCCGACATAATTCGTGGGATAATGGGAACGGCACGATTCGAATGAGTCCGGATCAACCTGTGTCTCCGATAGACGTAAATCAGTAAGCAGAACTCCGCAATTCTTCATAGTATAAATACTGAAATTAAGAAATGCTTGAATTTTTAATTATTGTATCACGCACATTGTAGACTAGAAGTATTGTATAAAATAAACATTTTATTCGATGTTCATTATGATAAAACGTTGAACGACTTCTGTCTGCAATGTGTAACGCGTTACTGAGTCGACCACTACCATTTTATCTACTAATTGGAGGAACGCGTGGCAACAGGTACAAGAGGACTAGCATACGCCGCACATCGACGGTCCCTGAAGAGCGAAGACCTTCGGAAACTAACGATCTCCTAGGCGAACCGGTTCAACCGACCGATCATTCGTTCAACGAATCCCCCGACTCGATTCTGAGCGGCCCCTTGGAGATGGCGAATTCCACGCCGGACACGGCCGAGTCAGACGCACCGACGGCTCCGTTTCCAGGGGTGTCACACACTTCGTCGCCGTTCGGTTCGTTGGAAGACGAGCGAGACAATTCGGCGAGGACGCCGAGGAAATCTAAAGAAAAAGAGGAAGAGGCTACCCAAAGGGCGTTTGGAAGCCCCATTCCGGTCGACGAAGACAAACCACTTTGAATCCAGAAAGCACGATAGTCAATTTTATATTCTGATCGATTGTAGACGAAGCAGTGGAGAATTTGACGGGAATTAGCTAACCATTTACCGAGGGCATAAATTATTTTGAACAGGTGATTGAAACTGGATGGAGAATGTATACATATATATATGTATGTTTCGATTGCTGTAGGAGAAATGTTATATATGTTATAGTTTCTTTTAGTACTTTATAAAAAGGCCAGAAGAAATTCGGTACAAAAACATGTTTTCGAAGTAACAAAAAAGATAGAATATGTGTAGTTGAGGTTCGTTCCCGCGTAGGAATA